TAGATAGACAGACAGACATACATATTCATATTCATATATTATATATGTATATAAATGTGTACACATACAGCCACACACATATCTACGTAACTTTCATTATGAAAATGACAGTTCATTTTACAGTGGTCATTAACTAGGACTTCACGGCAGCTGGCGAACAAAGAAAACAAACAAACATACATCGCAAGAATCCTTCGACAAGAGTTGTAAAAGAACGACTCTATGACATGATAACAAAAAAGAAAAAAAGAGAGAAAAAAGAAGAAAAAAAAGGTATTACCACCACTTCCAGAATTTTTTTTTTTTTTTTCTTTTTTTTTTAATGGTCACTCTCTGCTATATTGCCATCTAGAGAAAGAAAAAAAATTGTGGGTAGATGTGAAGGATGGGGGGTGGGTGGAGGGGGTGTAAAGAATGGGAGGGGGAGATGGAGGTGGGGTAAGGGGGTAGGGAGTAGGAAAATGTAGGAGGGGAAGATGCTTAGAATCTGTGTGCGGGAGAGGGGGGGGGGTAAGAAAAAGGGCAGTAGGGGATAGGAGATAGGTGTTAGGGTGTTGGGGGAAGGGGTGTGGGGTCGAAATGGTAATGTGTGGGGGGAGGTGGGTGTGATGGCATTGAGGGGGGGAGGGTAAAGGGGGTAGGGGAAAGGTGGTAGGGGATGTAAGGGTAGAGGGGAGGGGGGGGAGGTAGAAAAGGGTAGTAGAACGTAGGTTTGGGAGTGATGAGGGCGCCCCGGTGAGGAGGGAGGGGGGGTAGGAAAAAGTAGTAAGGAGGAGTGGGATAGTGAGAGTCTGGAGGAGACCGAAAGAGTAGAAGAATAAAAACAAAAACAAAATAGAGAGGAGAAGAAAGCGAGAATAGGGTAAGAAGTGGGAGAAAAAAAAAGAAGAAAAAGATAGTATGGGGAAAGGAATTAAAAAAAAAAAAAACTATGGGGAGGGGGAGAGGAAAAAGAAGGGAGAGGGGAGAGAAAGAATGAATTTTGATGCGTTAGAAAAGCTGTTATCATCGTTGTCAGGTCGAGAGTTATTGAATAGTAATGTGTTGTGGAGGTTATCGACTCCGTTGGACTGCTTACACTGGCTCAGGGGCGTCGGCTGGCCTGTGCACACGTCGGGGTTTTTGTCTGTCTGTTTGTCTGTCTGTCTGTCTGTGTGCGTAGGGGTTTGTGTGTGTATGTGTGTGTGTGTGTGTGTGTGTGTGTGTGTGTGTGTGTGTGTGTGTGTGTGTGTGTGTTTTGTTTCTGCTTCTCCTTGCCATTCCCCTTTCTTGTTTTTCCTCCTCTTCATCTCCCTTTCCCTCGCCTTCCCTTCCTTCCTCTCCTTGCCCTTCCCTCCCTCCCTCCCTCCCTCCCTCCCTCCCTCCCCCCTTCCTTCCCTCCCACCCTTCCTCTCCCTTTCTTTCTCTCGCTTCCTCTCCCATTCTCACCTCCCTCCTTCCCTCCCTCCCTCCCTCCTTCCTTCCTTCTTTCCTTCCTTCCCACCCTTCCTCTCCCTTTCTTTCTCTCGCTTCCTCTCCCATTCTCTCCCTCCCTCCTTCCTTCTTTCCTTCCTTCCCACCCTTCCTCTCCCTTTCTCTCGCTTCCTCTCCCATTCTCTCCCTCCCTCCCTCCTTCTCTCCCACCCTTCCTCTCCCTTTCTTTCTCTCGCTTCCTCTCCCATTCCCCCTCCCTCCCTCCGACCCTCCCTCCTTCCCATTCCCTCCCTCCGACCCTCCCTCCTTCCCATTCCCTCCCTCCGACCCTCCCTCCTTCCCATTCCCTCCCTCCCTCCCTCCCTCCCTCCCTTCCTGCCGGTACGTCGCCCTCCGCATCGCCTCCGCTCCCTCTTGTCGAACGCCCAGGCATCGGTAGGATATGTAAAGTGCGCTAATACGTAAACAGGTAAACAGGACTTGTAAACATGACCTGTCGCTCACTATTTCGAGTTGAGGGGGGGTCCGGTAGGGGTGGGGGAGGAGTAGGGGAGAGAGAGAGAGAGGGGGAAGGAGAGGGGAGAGGGAGAGAGGGGAAGGAGAGGGGAGAGGGAGAGCGAGAATGGCAGTGGGAGGGGAGAATTGTAAGTGGTAAGTATATGCGCGGAGTACGGTGAATTGTAAATGGAGTGGGAGAAGGAGAGAGAGAGAGAGAGAGAGAGAGAGAGAGAGAGAGAGAGAGAGAGAGAGAGAGAGAGAGAGAGAGAGGTAAAATAAAAGGAAAGAGAGAGAGAGAGAGAAGGAAGGAAAAAGAAAAAGAAAGATAGAGAGAGAGAGAAAGACAAAGAAAAACGAAATAGAGAGAGAAAATCAAAGCAAAAAAAGAAAAAAGAAAGAGGGAAAGTCTTCCTCCCCCCCCATATGCGTCCCCTCGCGCAGTGTGTCTCCAGTGTGAGTGTCGTGCCCCGGCGTGTTTTCCGAGCGCCGTGCACCGGAGGAGTGACTGAGGCTGAGCTAGCGTGCTGAGGTATATTGGTGTATGCAGTCTTGCGTGCGGACTTGGGGCCATGTTGCTGCACGAGGACATCTCGCCGTGCGGAGTTATGTGGCGGGGGGTGGGGGTTGGGGGTGGCTGTTGGGGGTTGGGGGTGTGGGGTTGGTGGTGTGGGGGGTGGCGGTTGGTGGAGTGGGGGGTGGCGGTTGGGGGTTGGGGTTGGGGGTTGGCGGGGGTTAAGGAACACGTGGGCCGGCCGACGCGCTTTCGTAATTGCAGGTATAAATGCATTTACCTGGACAGCACCAGCTTAACGACAGCAGCGAGATGCTAGATCATTGCGTGCGTGCGTACGTGTGCTTGGGCCGTCTGTGTGTGTGTGTGTGTGTGTGTGTGTGTGTGTGTGTGTGTGCGCGCGTGCGCGTGCGCTCGTATACTTACATGTATGTGTGTATGTATTTACGTACGCACGTATGTATGTATGAAATTACTGAATGCTTGTATGTATGTATATATGTGTGTATGTGTGTGCGTGCGTGTAGCGATGAGTGATGATGTTGTGGCGTGTGGTGTGCGTGTGGTGCATGCAGGACAAATAGTGTGGTGTCAACCCGGCTCGAGCACGCACGCTCTCTACCTTAAAACCGTAATCGATAAGTTGCAATGATTAGTGTTTGGATATCGCCTGACAGACTGTCTTAACCATCCAGGTCTCGGGACGGGGAGAGGGGGAGAAGGGGGAGGGGCGATGGGGGTAAGGGGGAGATGGGGAAGAGATGGGGAGGGGTGGGAAAGTGGGAAGGGGGGATGGGGGGGAAGGGGTGGGAGAGGGGGGGGAAGAGGATGGGGAGGAGGTAGGAAGGGGGTAAAGGTTGTGGGATTGGGAGGGGGAAGGGTTTGGGGTAGGGTTGGAGAAGGGGGGAAGGGTTAGGGAGGGGTAGGGGAAAGGAGGAAGGGTTGGGGATGGAGTTAGGAAGGGAGGGAAAGTGGGGGATAAGGTAGGAAGGCTAGAGGGAGGGGGGGGAGAGTCTTGGGGAGGCCAGGGGAGTAGTGTAGAGGTGCAGGCTAGGAGTGGGGGTAGAGAGAAGGGTGGGGGGCGAGGGAGGGAGGGAGGGAGGAGTGCCATTCCGCACTATCCGATACGAGTGCCACTTTCGTTGTCACTGACGTTGCTGGTGCCGGTATGGCTCGGAGGGGGGTGGGGGGTGGAGGCGGGGACGCGATTCGTTGCTGCGTCGACTCCGAGGAAAAGGGGGGGGGGGGGGAAGGGAACGGAAGATGAAGAACATTTTTGCAATTGGCTGTCTAGCATTCTCTCTCTCTCTCTCTCTCTCTCTCTCTCTCTCTCTCTCTCTCTCTCTCTCTCTCTCTCTCTCTCTCTCTCTCTCTCTCTCCCCTCTCCCTCTCCCTCTCTCTCCCTCCTCTCCTCCCTCCCTCTCCCTCTCTCTCTCTCTCTCCCTCTCTCTCTCTCTCTCCCTCTCTCTCTCTCTCCCTCTCTCTCTCTCTCCTCTCTCTCTCTCTCTCTCTCTCTCCCTCTCTCTCTCTCTCTCTCTCTCTCTCTCTCTCTCTTCTCTCTCTCTCTCTCTCTCTCTCTCTCTCCCTCCCTCCTCCCTCCCCTCTCCTCTCTCTCTCTCCTCTCTCTCTCTCTCTCCCTCCTCTCTCTCTCTCTCTCTCTCTCTCTCTCTCTCTCTCTGTTACAAAAGTAAATAGGATAGCAGACAAATACAGATATTTGGCTAAGATCAATGTTTAGGTAAACAAAAATAAGCGACAATGATAGCAGGTAGGCTGGAAAAAAGTAAATAACAAAAAGAAAATATAATTAAAAATATCGACAATAAATAATTAGAGGAAATAAAAAAGTAACAAGAAATAAGAAAAAGAAACACAATACAATTACCAAGAAATGAAACTTAAAAAAAAGGAAAGAGAGAGAGAGAGAGAGAAAAAAAAGTGAAATGAATAAACGAATGCTAGAAACTCGTAAGCCCTCTGGCCACAATGCTACCCGGGCGCACCACCACATTACCTACAATAAACATGACAAACGTCCATTGCGAATTCCTCCGGCGTGGTCGATCGCAGCCGTGGCACAAGAGTATATCTTTGTTAACAGTACATTACCGCTGGACCCCGAGACACCTGGATCCACCTGGTTACTGTTGGGAGGGGGGGGGGGGCTTCCTGCCTCTCCTCCTCTCCTTCCTCTTCTCCCTCTTCCTCTCTCTCACGTACTCTGTCTCAGATCCTCGTGGGTACTTTTCCTCTCCCCCTCACTTTCCTCCCTCTTCACTTCACCTTATCTTCACTCCTTACTTACTTTGTGGGTACGTTTCTTCTCCCTTCTTTCCTTCCTCCTCCTCCTCACCTCCCCTTACCGTCCCTCCTTCTTGCCTAATGGGTACTTTTCTTTTTTTTCCCCTCGTTTTCCTGCCTTCTCATCTCCCCTTACCTACCGTCCTTCTGACCTCATAGGTACGTTTCTTGCCTCCCTGCCTCATTTTCCTTCCTCCTCACCTCCCCTCACCTTCCCTCATTACCTCATGGCTACTTTCTTTGCCCCGCTTTTCCCCTCATTCTCTTACCACTTCTTGGAGACTCTATTCGGCTCTCTTCCCCTCTTGCCCAATCTTATCCCCTTATCTCTTCCCTTCCCTTATTTTCCTTTTCCTTCACCTTTAGATTCCCTCTTCTCTTCCCCCCCTCCCCTATACAGTTCATATCCCCTCACCCCCCCCCCCCTTCTCTCTCTCTCTCCCCTTTTATTCGTCATCTTCCCTCACCTCCTTTCACCTCTTTTCCTCCTCCTCCCCCCTTTCTCCATATCAGCTTTACCAGCCCAAGTCGAGGCAAGTACATATATACCAGTCATGTGAACTTGACCACGCCCAATTCCACTTGCCCCCCCCCCCCCCTATACCTCCCACCACTTGCCCCCCCCCCCCCAACACACCCAATGTACCGCACTTAGGGTACAGGTTGTTGCAGTAACGTTTATTGATTTAATTATGAATATGGTCATTTGTTTCTGTTATTTTATTATTTTACAAAGATTTAAGAAATAGCTTTAAAAAAGATATATATATATGTAGTATTCAAATGTCAAATTTTTATCGCATTATACCTTGCGAACAGTTTTTTTCCCATTTTATTAACGTGTTTTCCAATACTTTTCCATTTTTCTTTCTTTCTCTTTTTTTTTCTCTCGTTTTTTTCTTATTACTATATTGCGGACACCAGTGTTTTTTAAACACATGGGAAACGCATACCTATCGTGCTGTCTGCGGACGTCTTCTGCCACAGCATGACGGAGGTTTAACCACATTTGACACACACAAAAAGAACGAAGAGAGAAAGAGGGAGAGAGAGAGGGAGGGAGAGACAGACAGGAAGGCAGGCAGACAGACAGACAGACAGAGGGCGGGAAGGGGAGGAAGGAGAGATATAGTATCGTACCAGTGAGAGAGAGAGAGAGAGAGAGAGAGAGAGAGAGAGAGAGAGAGAGAGAGAGAGAGAGAGAGAGAGAGAGAGAGAGAGAGAGAGAGAGAGAGAGAGAGAGGAAAAAAGAAGACTCCACCACTAACAGCTTAACTGCACGTAATGGGGTGATTGTCTCGAACTATCATCACGATTATTCAACAATGTATTCAAAGATTATCCGTATCTGTTTCTTTCTTTTTGGTTCGTTCATTCTTTTTTCGTAATTGTTTATTTATTATCATCATTATTGTTGTTAGTTTTTTCTCTTTCCCCACTTGTTCCTCTTCCTCTTCTTCTTCCTCCTCCTCCTCCTCCTCCTCCTCCTCCTCCTCCTCCTCCTCCTCCTCCTCCTCCTCCTCCTCCTCCTCCTCCTCCTCCTCCTCTTCCTCCTCCTCTTTCTCTTCCTCTTCCTCCTCCACTTCCTCCTCCCACCATCCTCTTCACCCTCCCCAAGAAGAAGAGGCGAGGAATAAGAATAGAAAAGAGAGGTGGAGAGCGAGAGGAGGAAGGAGGGAAAAGAGGGGAAGAGGGGAAGGGAAAAGAGAAGAAGGAGGAGGAAACGGAACGGAGTAAGGAGGAGGACGAGGAAAGAGGAAGGACATTGAGAGAAGAGAGAGAGAGAGAGAGAGAGAGAGAGAGAGAGAGAGAGAGAGAGAGAGAGAGAGAGAGAGAGAGAGAGAGAGAGAGAGAGAGTAGAAGAGAGAAGAAGAGAGAAGAGAGAGAGAAGAGAGAGAGAGAGAGAGAGAGAGAGAGAGAGAGAGACTCAGATTCATGAACCGAGGTTATCATGCACATTCAGAGGACGGTCATGCGAGTTGGGGGGAGAGGGGAGGGGAAGGGGAACGGGGGAGGGGGAGGGGGGGAGGGGCGAGGCGACCGTGAATATAACGAGGGTTCATGCAAGTATGAGGAGGAGGAGGAGGAGGAGGAGGAAGGTAGGAAGAAGCGAAGCTAGGAATAAGAACGGAAAATTATTCGGGTTTAGGATAGCCATGTTTATTGTTGATGATTATTGCTGTTTGTACCGGTATTGCTATTTCGTTTTTATTGATAATGTTATTGCTGTTTTTGTTTTTGTTTTTTATCATTGTCATTTTTCATTTGTCAAGACAATATTATTTTCATCATTGTCACATCATTACCATCATCATCATCATCACCTTCATCATCATCGTTATCATCATCACCACCATTATTGTCATATGCACATGGATCTATACACCATGATGCATACATACATGCACACACATGCACACACACACACACACACACACACACACACACACACACACACACACACACACACACACACACACACACACACACACACACACACACGCACACACACACACACACACACACACATACACACACACACACACACACGCACACACACACACACACACACACACACACACACACACACACACACACACACACACACACACACACACACACACACACACACACACACACACACGCACGTAAACACACACACACACACACACACACGCACACACGCAAACACACACACACACACACACACACACATATATACATAATGGCATACACACATTTCCCTGCAGGAGATTTATGCTCAAACGCCGAGGAGG